TGTGCGAGCCCAAAACCTGTGGCGCCGTCCGAAGGGACGTGGGCTGCCCCAGCAGACAAGGTTCAGCCTACAGGGTGTAGGGTTTAGGGTTTAGGGGTTTAGGGTTTAGGGTTTAGTGGTTTAGTGGTTTAGGGTTTAGGGTTTCGGGTTTAGGGTACCTTAAACCTTGGGAATTGTGGTACTACAGTATACTAGGGACATGCAGAATTTTTCGTATCAACGGTATCCGTAGGAGGTTTCCTGCTGCTGAGTTTCTCTGCTAAGCCTGAATTGAGGATTTAGGGCTTAGGGGTTCTGGGGTTTAGGGTTTAGGGGTTTAGGGTTTAGAGATGAGGGTTTGGGGTTTAGGAGTAGCCTTTTTTTGGCGCTTGACCCTAATAAGATTATATTCCTCGTATAGAATACTATACCTCAAAAGGAAGATGCAATCTTACTCTGTATTGGGGACTAGAGCACCCCCAAATAAAACACTACTCAATTGCAAACTACTGGTCTAGCAGTTTCTCTTTGCAGTGTGGTGCATCGAGCCCACAACTTCGCAGACCCAAACCCAAATGAGGTCCCTGCGGCCGCAGGGCATTGATCCCAGAGGTGCCGATCAAAGCCTTTGCTAGGCAGGTGATCTTGGCGACACGGAAATCGCAGAAACAGGCGCAAAAGCTGGCTGTGTTTACAACAGCTGAACTGGGTTTAGGGTTTAGGGTGTAGGGCTAAGCCGCAAAACATGTTGGCTCATGCAACTCTTAGCATTCGCAGCTGCGGTGGAAAGAAGGTGTGAAGAGAAAGGGACCGCGAGGCTCAAGCCTCTGGTTGGCGTCTGGCTTCATCAGGGATGTGGCCGCCCTCCACCAAAGCAAGGGAAGAGACAGAGTCCAAGCGTAGATGTACCCACATCACTTGAAGAACATTACAGGGCTATATACATATATATATATACGGGTTATATTGTTGTAATATTAGTGGTTATAATGGTTATATATGGTTATATAGGGTTATATAGGGGTAATATTAAGGGTTATATAAGGTTACATGAGTAGTGCTTTTTTGGTGGTTGAACCTGGATAATCCTTGTATAAAATACTATACCCAAAAAGGAGGATATAATGTTACTCTATATTGGGTACCATAGTATCCTCAAAAAAAACTATTCATATGGGATGATATAGGGGTTTTATTTGAAGAACAGATTCCAGAACTGTCCTGAATGAGGAAACCCACAACTTCGTCAGAGAAGTGGTTGCCTGGAGAGGTGCTGGCACAGGGTTTAGGGTTTAGGGTTTAGGATTAGGGATTTAGGGTTTAGGGGGTTTAGGGGTTCAGGGCTTAGGTTTTAAAATAGTAGTCTCCATTTTATTTACCAGTATCCCAATATAGCCCTATCATTATGTAGCAGTTTCCATGTTCTTTTCCAATATCCAAATATAACCCTAGCATTATATAGTAGTTTCCATTTTATTTTCCAATATCCCAAAAAAAACTATCATAATATCGTAGCTTCCTTTTCATTTTCCAAAGGCGAACGAAGGTATCAAAGGTAAAGAGCAAGCAGGGTCAGCTCGGGGGCCAGCAGTTGTGTGCCAGAATGTCGTAGTTTTCGCGGGTGTACCTGCACTAACATCATCACCAGATGAAAATCCGACCAAGCACAGCTCATCAGCGCATCACACCTCCATACAGCTCGTGTATGGTAGCAAATCAACCCCCACACGGCACCTCGGAACCACCTCGAAGCGCAGCCAGTCTTCCAGCTCCTCTTCACTGACCAGCATGCCACTTGCGGAGCCAATTATCCACATGAGTTACAGTCTTGACTCCTAGCATTCCCCTTCGTAACCCCGATAGTACACCACTATATCATCCCCTATCTAACCCCATAAACCCTAAACCCTAAATAAGGACCCTATCTAACCCCTAAAACCCAAACCCTAAATTAAGGGAGGTATATTATATCCGCTATCCTACCCCATTTTTTTAAGAAGTTTAGACTATAGCTCACATTGACAGCACTCCTCCCTCGTGTGAAGAGTTGTGCCAAGATCAGAGCAGCCTGACACATCAAGGGTTTTGGGTTTAGGGTTTAGGGAGGCTGACAAAAGTTCGATGTACAGTAAGCCAGCATCACACCTGCACCCGTCTGATTCCTGTGTGTGTCTGCTCATAAGAATATGAATAAGAATAGCAATAATAGCAGTAATTATTGTGGTAACCATAATAGCAGTAATGAAAATAGTAATAATAATAATAATGATAGTAGTCTCAAATTTCAGCTGGTTATTGGTATTCTAGATAGCAGAGATTGATGCTTCTTGTCATTCTCTTCCTGTCTGTGCGCATATTCTATAATCCCCCTTAGTAAGCCCTGTAGTACCCGCCCTAAACCCTAAAACCTTGAGGAGCTTTGACTACAGCTCATGTCTGAGTATGGCACGGATGGGTCCCGGAGGAAACGGCGCCTTGCCAGGGTCTGAGGCTAGCACCTGAGCAGGGTTTAGGGTTTAGGGTTTAGGGGTTTAGGGTTTAGGGTTTAGGGCTCAGAGTTTAGGGTTTAGAATTCAGGGTTAAGGGTTTAAGGTAGATCTGCGATGATCCACAACCCTGAGATGAAGACTGTTGAATATCATGTAGGGGTTTAGAAGGGTTCTATACAGAGTTATATACAGGGTTGTATAGGGTCATATAGTTGGGGTAATATAAGGGTTATATACGGATACTGAAAAAGAAAATGGAAGCCACTATTTGAGGTTTCAGGGTTATATAAGGATATTACCCCTAATAATGGCAAAGGAAACGGAAAAGGAATGGAACATGAAATGGAAATGGAAACTGGGCTTCAAAAAAGGGATTATGCAATGTTGAGGCCTAAGCAATTGCCAATGTCATGTTGAAGTCTGTTGGAGGTACTGGGAGTCTATAGTCCCCCTGAAGTAGACAGAATATGGGGTCTATGGGGATCTTATTATAATATACCCAAAGCTATATTCTATCTACTTAAGGGGGACTATAGGCCCTTGATATTGGTAATTGTTTTACTGAATCTGTTAGGCTCCCACACACACACACCTGGATCCTCAGTTATCGAATATGGCAGCATGGGCCAAGTAACCCTAAACCCTAAACCCCCTTATCCTAAACCAAGTACTTGCTGCATAAACTAAGTTCTTGCACCACACTTCATGCAGCTTCAGCTGCACCATGTGTCGAGCAACGCTATATGATCCATAGTCAAAACTCCTAATATCCCCATTAATGATCCTCATAGGGGCATACAGGGATATTACCCCAATAAGAATGGATAATCAAATGGAAAAGAAAATGGAAAATAAAATGGAACCTGGGATTATATAGGGATTATGGGCGTTCTAGTCTAAACTCATAGTATCCCCATTAATAACCTCCATAATAGTCCCCAATATTATCCCCTTTAAGGAATTTAGACAGTCGCTCATATGCAGGGCAGCACAATCACCCACCTTGCAGCATTAATTCAACCTTGCATCGTCAGGAACTGGAGTGCGCTGATGTATACTGCAACCTAACATGCATCAGTGTATGATGTCTGCACATTCTTTTGATTTGCCTTGACTTCTGAACCTCACTGATGCTTAACTAGTTAGTGGCGTTAAAGATTCAAAACCTGAACATCCCATATCCACCCCGTTGCGCTGCGCCTTGCCGCCAAACCAGTACTCGCGTCCAAACGCCAGGACACCGGTGTGCCAGATGCCTGACAATTATTGCTCTTTCGTGGCTAAGTCGGCTTGCTTACTTATCTTGTTAGGTGTCATGGCACCACTTTCCGCCGGTTGCTGATCAACCCAAATGGAGGGAGAAGTGTAAATGCATATCCAATGCAGGATCTGTCTTCATCTCTGTTCAGAAGCACTGTCTTTTGGTCGGGCTTTGCATACGTAAAACAGCCTCGCGCCTTCAAGGTTCTGGCCGAGGAGAACCCCTGTTGGAAGCCATTTTGCATAGCCCCTCGTCACATCGTACCTCCGTGAACGTGGGCAAGGCACCACACAGCTTCAAAGTCTGCAATTGCCCGGCCAGTTCAGCTGAACCGGTGTTCGACGATACCCGAGGCCTTGGCGAACGTGATGTGTAATGAGTTTCCGGAAATTGTGAAATCCTTTTCTGGGGTGCTAAATTATAACATATGGGGGTCTTCAAATGGTCTATATAGGGGTATGGAGGCTACCAAAGATTTTTGTTCAAAAATGCTAGATTCGCTAAGCCTGCACGCCGTCCTGGATTAAGGTTGCGGCAGAAGGCCACGAAGTCATAGTAGCCCAGCTCCTGCAATCCAGTATAACCCATTTGCGAGGGATGTGGCTGAGGTCCAATTGACTGTCCCTAAACCCTAACCCCGCCTAGTTTGAGTGACATCACTGGCGGAAGAGCTGCAAGACTTTGCAACACAAAGGGTTCTGGTTTGCGGCGAAGGAAGTTAAATTGAGGTACTATACACTATGATAAGGAAACCCTATCCTCTATCTTATACCCATTTTATGTAGCTTAGATCCACAAGTGATCCAAAACTAAAAACACATAGGAGTAGAAGCTCTGCGAGCAGAAGCCGATGCATGCAACGTTTCGTTTGGTCTTGACCTCCAAACCGCCATTGCTGGTGCTGACGGACCTTCTTGAAAAGCTTCGCGTAATCCCTATGAACCCTGTCAACCATAAATCCTTATACTTACACCCCCAACCCCAAACCTTATAAGTCTAATATAAATCCCAAATAAATCCCATACAAATCCCATAAACCCCACATAAATCCCATAACCCTCCGACTTGAGTCCTCGGAGGCCTGAGGAGCCGCAAGCTTCACCTGCCAAGACCAGGTGACAAACAAGATGCTAGAGTCTACTTACTGGGTCTGTGGAAATATATTGTAGGGTTTAGGGTTTACGATTAGTAGGGAACAAAAGAATATTATATAGGGAGAAAATTTTATGTTCCCTTATTCCCTACTGAGAACCAGCAAGTTCTAGCGGTTGGACTTCAGCTAGCTGGACACCTCAGGATGCATTCAGAAACACAAGGACCCGGCGCTTGTAAGCTCAACTATAATGGAACCACGATCTCGAATGAATCAACTGTCGGGACCACTGTTGCCTGGGAGAGCAACTCCTGACAGTCCATAAACGTCGCCTGACGCAGCGATCTTGGAGAGCCTTGTTGAAAGTCTGTCACCCCTGTCCTGATGCTGCTGCTTGAGCTTGCGTACTGGGGTCTAGTAGGGAACAATGGAAGATATCATAAGGGGATCATATCGGGATTCCATTCCTCTATTCCCTACTAATCCTACACCCTAAACCCTATATATAAACACAACATATTCCCTTATTCCCTACTAACCTCCTGCAAGCTTGGCCGTTGAAAATGGACAATGGCAAGGCACCGCACCTCTATGTCTCTCAAGTGCAGGGAGCCCGTGCCTGCCATGGCTGGGCACATTCTAGTAGTATGTTTTATAGTATATTGGAGTATCGTATATATAGTGCATTATTATATCCTGTAGAATACTACATTATATTCTAATACAGTTTTGTATATTATAGTACATTATGACATACCTTAATATAGTAGAGGATTTTGGGATCGAGCATGTGAGGTGCGGTGTTACTGCATGGTCGCCAGCCACGAATCTTCTTCTGAGCCATAGTCTAGACTTTCTAGTATCCCCCTCAATAAGCCCTAAATACTCACCTCCATAACCCCTCTTTAATTTCATGAGTTTAGACACTAAACCCTAAACCCTACATAACCCCCCTTTAAGGAGTTCAGACTCTAAACCCTGAACTCTACAGAAACCCCCTAAGTCAAGGAGTTTAGGGGTCTAAACCCCAAGCCCCAGATAACCCGGCGTTATATTGAGTAGTGCTTTTTTGGTGTTTGAACCTAGTAAGATTATATTCCTTATACAAGATACGATACGCCAAAAGGAGGATATAGTCTTACTCTTAGTTGGGTACCATAGTACCCCCAAATGCAATACTACTCAACTGTTACCTAAACCCTAAACCCTTAACCCTTAACCCTGAACCCTAAACCCTAAACCCCAAACCCTTAACTAAACCCTAAACCCTAAACCCTACTACCCATCTTGTGCAGATATGAACTATAGTCTAAACTCCTAGTATCCCCCTTAATAGCCCCTATAGTAGCCCCCTATAGCATCCCCTATATAACCCCCTTTAAGGAGTTTAGACTATAGGTCATATGACAGGTTTCCAAGGCAAGGACCCCGCACGTCGGCGCGCTCAAAGGCATCCACAGCCTGTCGATAATTTGGTTTAGGGTTTAGGGTTTTGGGTTTTGGGTTTAGGGTTAGCTAAGGGTTTAGAGTTAAGGGTTTAGGGTTTAGGGTTTAGGTGTTCACAGCTTCGCCAACCCCTAGTATAATAGAACAATATACTATCATATGCTGTAGTATACTAGAATATACTAGACCTTCCTAAATATACCATAATATACTATAAAATAC